CTTTCTGCACAGAAGATTTGTTCTTCATAATAGTCTGTCCAAAATCCAGTGTGTGTCTGCTGAAAATTGCACTGCTTGTTCTTAACACCTGCTTGGTCTCCCTATCATTAGGAGGCTTTTGTTCATTACTCTGGAAGTAGAAAAAAACGTAGGGCAAAGAAGAAATCAGATGGCTTTTTGGTTTTCTTCCAGCATCAAGCAGAGCCTATTTTCCTCATTCAGTGGATTCATTTTAGAGAGTGTATCAAAACCAAAACCAAAACAGATGAAAGAAAGAAAGCTGTTGTCAAAAAAAAAACAACAACCACAGAACCTCAATTCAAAAATCCATTGACCACTTCTTTTTAGGTGAGAATGCTAATTTGGAAAATATATGCACACATGATCAGGGAGGGGAAAAAAATCTGACTACCAAGCTATTAAAGTCACAGAACTGTGAACCACATTTCTGATGAGAGAATAAAATTATACATTCAGAGAGAAAGTGAAAGGCACCTGTACTTTCTCACCTCAGTATTTTGCATCTGAAAAGAGGACTTTCTGGAATATTTACACTTCATTCATATCAGGCTAATTGAAAAAAGGAGGGACAGGTTGTCTATTGCCAGGTAATTTATTTAGCCAAGATAAATGGGACAAGGAGCTGGCAGTCTGATCTCAGACCTTGCAAATCTTATTTGCTTTAGCTGAATTAGGATCACTGTTTGGAAAACTACAGGTAATTGTCAATCAGATTTACAAAAAAAAAAAGAAAAAAAAAGTTTTGTCATGATTTTTTTTTTACCACCCTCCTAAAAAATACCTTCCTTAATTGAAAGATCAACATCTTAGCACCCAAGCATCTGCCATCAATTTGTTAAAAAAAAAAAAAAAACCACAAGAATGCTTAAAATCACATCAAAAATCCTAATTCCAGTAATGTACAGCACTTAGTTCATAGAACAAGACTGCAGGTAGGTTAAAAAGGAAAACCAAATATTTCTTAATTGCCCTCTGAGCCACATAATGATAAGTAACTGATTATGATTACCCTTGTATATATGAATATATGCATCCACCTCCTTAGGGTGAGGAAAATCCTTTGCTACCTCACAGCCCATATTCTCATTTCAAATGATGCAGCCTGTCTCCCTAAGTCTTGTCCACTTTCCTTAGAACTTATTCAAGTTTTCGTTTACACCGTTGGTGGGATAACCTTCTCTAGCAACAGACAGATGCCTTCTCCTCTAGTTCGCAATGTCCTACACTATCTGGTGATGCAGCAGTGACAAATCCTGAATCCAGGATGCTGAAACGGTCTGTTTAATCCCCCCGATTTGGTTTTACTCGGGAGGGGGGGGGGGAAAGGAAGAAGGAGAAGGCTTACCTGCTGTACGAAATTGCAGCTGTAAGAGAAACAGCAGCGGAAGCAGCGCTAATATATAACAACAGCTTCTGCTAAAGGAATCTTGCTTCTGCTCCGCCGTAGCAAGAAACTGTTTTTTTCCCCACAGTCTTTTTCTTCTTCTTTTTCTTCCCTTCTTCTTCTTTTCGTTCACCGAACAGATGAGAAGGAAGACAGAGCAGGCAGGTTGAAACCACGTTCTTTTTGACCGAGGTCCTCTTTCTTCTCAGAAATGACCTGGGAATCTGGCTCCTGGTTCTCTCTCCACGTTTACGCTTCAGATCAATACAGCTCTTTAGCAGCAGCTTGAGCTTAAACTGCAGCTGATAGAGCCCAGCCAATAGGTACCGAGGATTTCCCTCCTGTCACCCGCCCTCAAAGAGACACGCAAACCATGTATCGGAGAGGTTATTAGTTGCGAGCGAAGGGGGACAATTAATCTTAACCCCTTGCTACAACTCAAATCTCTCGCAATTTGCGTGTGTGTGTATCTTTGTGTGTGCGTGCGTGCGAGAGAGAGAGAGAGAGAGAGAGAGAGAGAGAGACTTTTCAAGCTTCGCTATTATTTTGCCTGATGAGATGCCTTTACTAAGCAAAGAAGCCCCCCCCCCCCCAAAAAAAAGCTGGCATCTTTAAAGGAGAAAAAGTGCGTTAACGCAAAAAGGCTCAAAAAGGATCCCCGGTGCTATAAATCTTGCTGGCCTCTAACCATGCCTCTCTCACAAACATACACAGAGAGTGTACATCAATCCACTATTCATATGTTGTGAATTGGCTTTTATATACATATGTATTAGATGGTATTCCGTTTGACCATCTCATACAATTTTCTAAAATCCCTTGAGCCCGGTATTTTTTACTTTAAAACTCAAAAGGCTGTTCAAGCGGAGATCTTTCCCAGTCTTATTACCTGGTTCGTTCATCTAGCTCAGCACTTTCTAAGGGACAGACAATTCTGTTTCTGAGTCCATGGACTTCCCACTGATTTCTTCCAATTGCTCTATCTGTTCCTGTATTGCTCTGCAAATTGTTTTTCAACCATTCCATTGAAGGGGGGAAAAAAAAAATCTCTATGATCACTTTCACACTGAAAGCTGCCTAGCAAAGTTCCAGATGGCATTTCTTGTTAAAGGATCTGGAGTGCAAATAAGAGAAGGCACCCGGAACATTAAAGAAAGAAGTTGCAACACTATTTATAAATGACATATTCTCTTTATATGGAAATCTTATCTGGAGACTGCCACTGTAATCCTGCCAGTGTATGCTTTTCTAATGCTGTGCCATTTATGCAAAGGGACATTGTTGAATATATTTGCAGTTATCATAGACAAGTTACATGTAATTTTTGCTTGGAAAACTGCAATAAAAGCTTTTGCCTAAGATCTTAGAGCAATGCTACCAAATGTGTTCATATGAAAAGATATGAAATTTTACACCTCTGAGAAAAGAGAACATTATGCTTTGTTATTCACAACACAAGGATTGTTTCTAAAAAAAAAGTAATCATCACTATATTAAGCTCACCTGATACTAGGTACAATATAATTTCTCACATAAACAACTCCCTGCCCCTGCGTTTTGCTTTAAATTGATCTCTCTCTTCTAATTATCCCCAGTAATTCAAAAATATATTGAATTACAGTAGTCAAAGAATAGCTTAAGACATATCTCCATCTCTATCCTTTGAGTCAGCCTTGACTCCTGACATCATGAATGTTGTTTATCTATTTATTTATTACAAAACACAGGGCTAGTTCATATGCACATGAACAGAAACATATATTCATATTTTTTTCTAGAGTGAATAAGATGTTCCACTTGTTTTATAAACTATTCCTAGCAGCCATGCAATATCAATTTGTATGGAACTATATCTCATAAATAGGATATGAAATAATTAAATGTTTCTCCTATGCCATTTCTAAGTTCATAACTAGAAGGCTAATCTGGACTTTTACAAAAACCCTGTTGCCCAATTCCACCCAAGCCCTGAAAGATAAGTCCAAGGCTGAAGATTTGGTTGGAAGAAATTATGTACCATCTCTGTGGGATCACACCTTGTCTGGAACAATCTTCCTTGAAGGTACTTGTGGCCTTACCCTACAGGCATTTTGCTAGCAAATTAATATGCTATTCTAATGTATTTGCAGCCCTTGTTCATTGTGATGTCCATTCCTGCATTTTTTAAGTCACATTAACCCACTGCAATCTTGAAGGACTTTTGGCAATTTGTAAAATAGCTGAATGTCTACTGAGAGACTACCCTGAAGAACATCCTCCATCACTAAAAAACAGTGATGAAAAGCCTCCACCCTTGTCACTTTCCTGAAGTGGGAAACCACTAGAAGTTTCTCCTGGGTAGATTGAATTAGTTGGGCCAATTCCAGTAATCAAATCAGTCCTGAAGTTAAAAAGATGCCAAGCTATGCAGGACATTATAGGTTAGCCCCAACATTTAAAACTGCAGCTAGAACTGAATCCTATTGTTAACCAGAGTAGAGCCCACAACATTGGTGTCATTGCTCCCATTGGGAAGTGTGGTTTAGCACATAGGTTATGACATTTTAATTAAAATATAATGGAAAAAGGGGGAATTAGAGAGAAAAAAAAGATCAGAAAAAAAGGCAAAGTTAGGAGTGTGGGAAAAAATAGAAAAAGGAACTTTCAACTTTCTTCAGTACAAATATAAAATACATTAATCTTTTATACAAATATTAAGAATAATAACATAGTATTTTTATAATCAAAAACAGTTCTCATCATCAAATCCCAAAATTAAAGATTCATTTATTTTAGTTTCAAACAAAATGTGCAAAGAGGGACTTCAAGTAGAAACAAAACTAGACAAAGTCTTTTTTTTCATCAAAGTAATCAATTTTACCATCTGAACCAGTTCCATTAACTGCACTATCCACTCTTCCATTGAGGGAATTTGTACGTTCTTCCATCTCTGCACATGCTGGTCTTGCTACTGTTGTCATACAAAGGAACACAGTCCCATGTTTTCTCTCTGTCTGTTTATCCATGAAACCTAAAAGGAAATGGACCATAGCATTCTGAATTGCAATCTTTGAGTAGTCCAAATGGATGGTGTTGAAGGCATGAATCAATGTAAGAAAGTCACAACTGGCAGACCAGCCAAAGCTGAGCAAAAGGTCCCTCAGCTATGGTTTCCATCTCCTATTCTACCGGGAACTATGGGTCTAGAAAGATTGCCAAACCCCAGATCGATTCTACCCTCCCCTCCCTCTCCATCAGAAGGAATCATTAGAGGCAGAGAACACTAATGAGCAAACAGTAAACCAATCTTGCTAGGTTTCATTTTAGGACCCTGCTCTCCCAATCTAAACCCTCACAGCCTCCAGGTGCTGAGATAGGACATTAACAATGTCACCACCATCTAGCTTAGGACGCTGATGTAAAGTTGATGTTAAATTCTGCAAATTTGGCAAGCTCAGAATACAAACCTATTGGACTTTCAGAAATATCTTTATTGCTAGTAAGGTAATGTATCAGACTCTTGAGAACCTATCACCTGCATAATTTATACCCAGCAGAATTGCATTGAGTGTCATTCTCATACCTTCCTCCTTTGCAGGGCTGAGGTATCCCAGAGCCTGTTAGACATCCAATAACAGCTGAGCATCATCAGTATATCAGTGATACTGAATCCCAAACCACTGGATAAGTTTTCCCAATGGTCTCATATAAATATAAAATAAGAGAGGGAGACCATCAACTCCTGTGGCACCCCACCTCCAAGGTATCAGATTTTTATTTTGATTTCTGTACTTGTTGCTTGCATCCAATATTCATCAGAATTGGAACAAATGAATAATCCATGCGTTTAACATTATAAGGCAAAGAGTAGATTCAGGTAGGCAGAACTTAACTTGAGAAAATTATCTTTAATTCTTTCTCTTTTGTAGTTCTGCCCTGTTTTGAATCATAATCTTCTTCCCACAACTGTTATTAAGAATTATAACAAATATCCTCCATGTGTTGTAGTTCAACTTTTCCAATCCACTTGAGTTTTTTTTTTTCAATCCACCTGGGCAATTGATGCTATTGAAAAGAAAGTGTGTAGGGGATATAAGTTATCATTTCGTAATTGTTCTATTCTATATCTACCTTATTCTAGTTCATACAAGTCAGCAGTGGAGAATGGCAACATCACCCCTAGGTATGTTGATACATAGGTTTATGTAGCATTCTTTAATATGACAACAAAGGAACACTTGATGCTGTACAATATGATTTCTGAGCCAATGTTTCTTTTCATAATAGACAATTCCTATGTCATATTCACTATGGAAATTCACATTATATAGGTAATACAAAGGTCTATTTAGCACAATCATTTCAGAACAAAATTGAAGGGCAAAGAGAAGGTCATATGCGTTGTAAGTATCAATAGTATCTTCACCAATAGATTTGCTCACCTGCGTCACAACAACAGAACCATTGGAAAGATGTCAGAAGCCAATTATACATTTAAAGTAAACCATAATCTTTGCCAGAAAATACCTTCTAAAGAGCAGAACAGCTGCTTGTAGGCTAATAACATTATATGGTTGTTTCTATTTCCTATCTCCACTTACCCTCATCCATCATTTCAAGGTAAACTATTTTCAGATTGGATTTGTACCACAATCTCCAAGTCCCCCTCCCCCCCTTTTTTTAAAAAAAAGAACAGTTTAAGTTGTTTCTGTACTTTCAATGTTCTGGCATACAGGCAATTGTTTCATTTTATCCTGTGAGTTAGGAATACTGTTCAGTAGCTAGATTTCAATGTGTTCTTGAATTGTAGTAATGCTGTTAGCACTTTTGGCCAAACTTTTATTTTAAAATTGTAGAAAGCATGATCTCAGAGTATATGTTGTCACCCCAGTTACATTTTTCTGATCTTTGTGGCTGTTCATCACTGAGATTTTTCTAGACCTCCAGTTTTCTTTTCTCTTAGAGATAGTTTGTGCAGCCTTGAAGAAACAGGTTTGGGGTTAGGAAGTGGTAGTGGTGGTAAGTGAGTAATAATTGTTGACTACCAAACCAGTCAGTCCTAGAGGAGATCAATCCTGACTGCTCTTTAGAAGCCCAGATCCTGAAGTTGAAACTCAAGTACTTTGGTCACCTAATGAGAAGGAAGGACTCATTGGAGAAGAGCCTAATGCTGGGAAAGATTGAGGGCAATAGAAGAAGGGGATGACAGAGAATGAGGTGGTTGGATGGAGTCACTGAAGCAGTAGGTATGAGCTTAAATGGACTCCAGAAGATAGTAGAGGACAGGAAGACTTGGAGGAACGTTGTCCACGGGGTCGTGATTGGTCGGACACAACTTCACAATTAACAACAACTCCCATTTCCTTTATGTTAGATGGAAATAATTCTTTTTCTACTTTGAATAGCATATTACCTGCCATATTTCTCCCAGTAACCCTCAATGAGATTGCTCTTAACTTACTAGTCCCTAATGGTAGTGGGAAAAGAGTGATCTGAAGGTGGAAAGCTGGGTGGAAGTACTACATCCATATGGAGAAAACAGATTGGTGACAAAAGAGACTAAAATATAATAACTTTTTTCCCCCAGCAATCCTGTGGTAAGGGTTGAGATGTGTGTATGAGAAAGTGTCTGTGGGGGGGGGGAGGGAAAAGGGAAGGGGAAGAGGAAGAGAAAGGGGAAAAGGAAAGGAAATGTACATGTCCAAAGTGTTTTCTGTATGTTAGGCTTTTACCACTGTTGAGTTGAATTGCTATCAATCCATCCTTCAGTTGTTAGGTAACTACATCAGCTTGAAAGTACAATTTCAGTTTTCGGTTACCACCAGTCATGTGACTGCCTTCCAAGATCACAACTGGTAAAGTCAGAGATGACTTTATGTAACTCAAGGGTTGGGAACAAGGTAAATGCACAATCATAGGGACAGCTCAGAAAAAAAAAGTATCATTAATAAATGTTTGTGCTGTCATGCCATTAAGTGTAACTATAATCATTGTGGTGTGTGTGGGGGAGGAGTAATGGTGGTGGTTATGTACATGTGAATGTGATGAAGAGAGAAGAAAGTGCCTTCAAAAAAGAGAGTGGCAGGCCAGTACTTATCATTGGATTTCAGACCAGGCTGTGTGTAACAGCTAGGCCTAAACTAGGCCTAATTATTAGTAAAAAAATAATAAAATACTAATAATTTTAATTTGGAATTTAGCTTTAATCAAATTTTACTTCACTTCTCCTTATTATTTCCTTTCCTACTTTATTAAATATATACCTGTCAGCAAATATTTTGGTTTCCAGTAACATTTTTTTTTCAAAGCCTTGTTTTCAGCGAGCAGAAATTTTAAAGTATTCTCTGTGGAGGACTTCTATTTAGAGAGAACAGGTAACTTTCCCAGAAAATACAATCCAATATATAGGTAGAATCTGTATCTGTGTAGAATAAAGAATATTCCTATAATTGGCAGATGGAATATTAATACAAATAAATAATTTACTCTTCATTCAAACATCTTTATTTTTGAAGTTGGAAATCATGAAGCTTGAATGTGAATAAGAAGGCAAAATGTCAGCATTTTATCAGTTATTTTTTTCAGGTTAAAGAAAAGGGCAACCCCCACCCCCATTCTAGCTATCATCTAAAAATTTCTGGAATCTCTACTTCATGTAAGTGTGTATGCAATGCAAAGAGTACCAATTTCCATATTTTCTATATACTGTAGATTTTATACAGGTGCATATTACAGACACATATATTTGCTGGTCAATGATCTATAACATGTCCCAGAATGAATGTATGGAATGTACATGTTTTGTTTTGTTGATAGCATTCTGTTCTGTTTAGTGCTTTTCAGATTCAGACCATACTTTCTCTTAAGACAGCAACATTTTTTTCCCTTCTTGTGTTCCAGCTGTAGAACATGTGTCTGATTTTTATTGGGACTCCCCCAAATGCAGAGAAAATAAGTCCATCAAGGTATGTTATTCATTTCTACCAGCTGCTTTTTCTAACCCTTATGCTGTGTGTCTGAAGAATTAAATTTGTGGGAGGGGAAGACAATGTTAAAACCCCCATCTTATTTGTGAAAGAAATAATAAGAAAGGTCAGATTGGTACCCGCATGTAAGTTAAAGAGATGTGGTTTCCATCTTTAGTAGGAATAACACTCTTGGCAGGCGTTAATCTTCAAAACAGCACAAGTTCCCAAACTATTTCTGGCATATCTAGGACCATTTGTCCTCCTCACTGCTCATTAACTTATTATAATTATTTTCAGTACATGGATATGGTAATATTATAGAAGGTATGTGTCTTGAAGACAGACAATAGTGGACTAACTGGGGTCTTAAAAATGTGAAGGTGTGTCTTATGATAGATAGCATTCTATTATAATACAGTAACCCATAATTTATGCTTCAGACAAATAATGGATTTAGACAATTGTTCAAATCTGACAAGGGTAATATCTTTACCTTCTAATCTCGTGCCCTGATATGTAATGTTTTTCCTTTAGGCTTTTACATAGAGAGGTAGCAATTGGAATTATTTAAAAAAGAAATTGCAACAGTGACTGATTGCTTCCAGAAAATGAGTTACTATATATAAGGGGAAAGCTAGAAATAACCAATGCATTTAAGTTTCATTTTCTGTAATACTATGTATTTAACTGCAAGTGATTATTTTAATGCGATCAATTTGCCAGTTATTTTGTTCATCAGGTTTTCTTTTCCATTGGTAGCCTCCCTTTTAGTCTCAGTATTCTATTTATTCTCAAGCAGTGCAACATGACCTAAAGTTGTTAATTTTCTTTTAGATTTAAAAAACCTTTCTGTAACCCATGAAGCTTTTTTTTAAAAAAAAACAGTAACATTACAGCAATAACAACCATTTGAAATCATCACCATTTCAAATTTCAAAATCTGATATGAAATTGCCTGCGTGTAAATATGAAGGATTTAAGAATATGAAGTCAACCCCCTCCTTCCTTATGTCTAAGTGATGATCTGAGGGGATTGTTCTCCATTTATAATAATGCTGATATGCGGTAACTTTTCTCATCTCCGTAAACAATTTTCTATGGTAGGAAGCAGCCATGAAACATTGGTGCAGATTCAAATTGGCCCTGCTGGAAATAGACTATTGAAGTTTGCTCATTCCTTGTCCTTATTGCTAATGGTGGTTTAGAGGAAGAATCCATGTCTACATGCAAGGGGAAGGAATTGCAAAACCTATCTGTCCACCCTCTTTCTCCAGAATGATCAGATTTTGCATTAGACCCAACCACTGGATGGGACAAAATATCCCATCAGGGTTATATTCAGTGAGGAATTGCATTTATTTATAAAATTATAAAATTTATAAATTTCCTCATTCCAAAGCCTTGAAAATTCTCAATATGCTATAGGTGTTCTTTTGCATTTATTCTCTTTACATTTCCCCATACCAGAGAGAAAACAATGCCTGAACTGAGGGATAAACAGTATATTTGATTTAACAGGATCAGAGGACTGGACAATCAGAGAGACATCAAGATATTATTAACAGGAATAGCCACAGCAATGGTCACTGACTAAAAAAAATCCTCTTTTTATAGTCAATAAGCATTAAAAAGGGGCATGGCTTTGATTACCTCCTGGCATCTACTATTTTAAAGTCAGTAAATCTTATAGAGATCCAGTAAATCTCTTGATCCAATTTATTTTTGCCCTTCAGTGAAAGAGATTTCAGAGACTCTTACTGTATTCAACAGATTTAATTTTCTTAAAGAATGCAACATTGGTCAAAGTATAGCCTGATCTTTGTGATAATCATTAGTCTTGATTCAGATTTATTTAGTTCAAACAAAGTAAGTTGGGCTCATATTGAATAGCTATTCCTGATGCCCAAACATTCTTTCTCAAAGCCTCTGCTTTTTGAACATTTTCTTCTATTTCATTTTTTTTTTCTTAAAGGGTTTTCTGGAGTTGCGTTGTTATTAAAAAGATGGGAGGGGTTGTATTTATTCTTCTTCCTCATGCAGCTTTAAGCTACCTTGTATGATTTGAAGTTTTCATTCAAATGAACATGAGTGACTTTTATGTCCTAGCACTGGGATTCTGGTACAGAGGTCTGCACAGAGGATCCAGCTGGAAACAGAAAAATATTAACACAAGCAAACCATAATTAATTAATTCCTGCTTTTTAAAGTATATAATAGGGGCAACACTGATCTGTTCCAAAAAAAGGAAGTCATGATGTTAAGTATTCCCTAGAGTTCTGATGGCGCACAAATACATTTATCCTAAAAGGATATCTCCCTCACTTTATTACAGCAAAACTAATATCTTTGGGTGAAACTTAACTCCTGGTAATCTCACAAATATGTCCAGTATTTATCACACACCAAAATAATTAAGCCTCAAATCTCATCTCTTCCCACAATTTCTGGATCCAATTTCTTTCTCTCCTTCTTTCATGTGGAAAATTTTGAAACACATCCTGATTAATCCTTAATTGGATTATTTTGGGCTTGGAGACATTCTGAACACTAGAAGTTTTACACACAGTATCTATCTGTCTATCTATCTGTCCTTGTGTGTCTAGATCTGTTTCTTCATTGAGCTGTTCCTCTTATGCCTTACCTGTTTTCTGAATCTGGGTGAGTCAAACTGGAGTATGTAATTAAGTTTTTCTTTTTTACAGTGGTGGTCCTTGGAGTAAAAAGTGTTTAATAGGGTCACCAATGATGTGCCAAATTTATTCTTACTTTTGAAATATACTATTAAACAAGTTTATGTTATAATATGTCCTTCCAAATTCTTTTTGTTCTTTTGTTTCTTTGTACCCGTGAAGCCCATTGACTAGACCTGTTCCCACTATTATTGCCATTCTACTATTTGGAAATTTTATTCATTCCATTATCCGTAATATAGACAACTTGCTATCCTCTATAGTACAGCCTAAGATTGGCAAATTATAGTGTCTTTTTCTTTTGAATCTTTTTTACATTTTTACTCTTAATTTCTTTTTCCCACTGATATAAATCTGCTCATTGTTCTTTGCCAATCCTGCAGATTTTTTTATCTGAAATTGAAATTGGCACCATTTGGAATAGAAAACTCATTTTGAGTAATATATTTATTTTTTGTCACAATAAATCTTAACAAGGAATGTTTTAAACTTTTCCTCATTTTCAAGTTTGGTTTTATTCCTCCCCCCCCAATTACAAATTTGTTGTAATTGTTTTAAAATATAACTTCATTATGTCTCAACAAGTGGAGTTCTAGGTATTTTCCTGAAACTGTTCGTTATCACACAGCCAGTTTATTTTCTGACAAAATCATTCATATCAGAAGTTAAGTGACTTGATACCTTAAATTATCTGTTCATTAATTTTAATGAAAATTAATGGTAGTCAAAGTCTTTATTATTTGCATTAACTTTGTATGGAGCTATATGGTTGTGTAATTGTTGATGCTATATCATCTACATAATATTTCATCTTGTATTGTTCATGAATTTTGATTTTGATTATTTGCTTATCTTTTCAGATCTTGCAAGCGCTGAGTTATATGGAAGCTTGGATCGTGGAATGGAGGGATCCAGTCCAACAGAGCAGCAACAGCTGGAATGACCATATGGGAGACAGGCTGAGCCTGAGCTGAGGGAGCCACAGCTGCAGTAGGTTAACCTAGAGGCTCCAACGCAGAACATGAGCAGCTACCAGCAGTCAACAAAGATGAGGAGGTGAAGTCCATGTCTCTTCCCAATCTAAGGATGCACAAGGCAGAAAGGAGGCAGGTGCAATGCCGGTTGGCCAGGCTACTTATGAGGAGGCAACTTTGCCCATTGTGAAGGGTCACATCAGCATTGGCGATTTAATCCTGCCCTAAGAGATGGGCATTGCTGGAACAACATCTCCAGTTCCTTGTTCTGTGTTCCGTTTTTCTGCAACTTACTCCTTGAACTCATGTTTGGACTTTGGACTGACTCTGGACTGTGTATTGCATTTTGTGGACTGAGCTTTACCAAAAACTCCCGTATCACACTAGTTTTGTTCAATGTGGCAGCTGAACATGCTTGTTGTGTGGACTTTTTTTGAAATGCTGGGGATTTGAATAAAGCCATTAACTCACAGTGATGTGTGTATGTTTGAGTGGGCAGCACATGTTTGTTGTTTGTCATTTTATGAATACGTTCCAATATTCTAAATACTTCTGGTCCTTTATTCCATTTAAAACTGTCTTAAATTGGCTTCCAGTTTTTTTTTTTTTTTTATTAAAAGTTTTATAAGTTTTACAAAAAAGAAAAAAGAATACAAAACAAGAGACAACATATACAAAAAAATAAAACTAAACAATACATATATAAAAAAAAAATAAACCCCCCCCCACCCCTCCCAAACCCCCCCTCCCTTCCCCCCCCCCTGAGCTTCCCAGAGCAGAATATAGGCTTAAAAAGTAAAAATAAAAATTAAATTAAAAACTTTATATTTATATATATAAAAAGATTATCTATAATATATATAAAAATAAAACTTATGAAAAAACTATATAATATTTTTGTATACCCAATCTAAATTGTATAAATTTTATCCATTTATCCCAAACAGCAAAAAACTTCTCTTGCGTTTGTTGCTTTAAGAAAGCCGAGATCTTTGCCATTTCCGCCAGATAAGCTACTTTAAGAAACCATTCCTGCAATGTAGGCAAAGGATTCCTTCTTCCAATATTGTCCTACTAACAGCCTAGCGGCTGTAATCAAATTTAACATCAATACAACCTCCTTTGTATCACAATCTGTAACAATACCTAACAAAAATAATTGCGGAGTAAATTTTACCCTCCTTCTAAAAATTCTCTGGATATTCCACCATACTTTGATCCAAAATGCTTTTATCTCTCTACATGACCACCAAATATGGTAATAGGAAGCCTCATTATAACCACATCTCCAACATTTGGGTTGCACGTCAGGGTACATATAAGACATTTTTTGTGGATCAAGGTGCCATCTATAAAACATTTTATAAAAATTCTCCCTTAAGTTCTGTGCTTGTGTAAATTTGACATTTCTCACCCAAATTTTTTCCCAGGTGTCCAATGAGACTGGCTCACCAAAATTCTGCGCCCATCTTATCATACAATCTTTAATTAGTTCCGTTTCTGAATCCAATTCAACTAAAACCGCATAAATTCTCTTAATGTGGGTTTGTCTTGAATCCTTCACTTGCTTGATAAGATTTTCATCTTCTCTAAGAAAACCCACCTTACAATCCATCTTCCATCTGTCTAATAATTGCCTATATTGGAACCAAGAATAAATAAAGTTTTCTTGTGCTAACTCTTCCCGTGATTTTAATTGCCAGTTTTGTCCATCCCATTTAAGTAACTGTCTGTAGGACACCATATCCATTTTAACCCCTCTTTTTATTGCTTCTATCGCATGCCAAGGTATAGCCCATAATGGTACTTTGAAATCACTTTTATAATATTTTCTCCAAATCCTAAGTAAAGAGATTCTTAAGATATGAGATTTAAAAGCCCAATCCATTTTTTTATTGAATATTAAATAGGCATGCCACCCATAAAGTAAGTCCCATCCCTCTAGATAAAGTATCTCAGAGTTTGTCAAATTTATCCAATCACTGATTAGTGTTAAAACCACCGCATCATAATATAATTTCAAATTTGGTACCTTAAGTCCACCCCTCTCACGAAAGTCTTGCATAATTTTAAACTTAACCCTTGGCTTTTTCCCTGCCCAGATAAATTTATTAAGACCCTTCTGCCATTCATTTAAATTAATCTCATTTTTCAAAATTGGTAACATTTGAAACAAAAAAAGAAACTTAGGTAAAATATTCATTTTTATCACTGCAATTCTTCCCATGAGGGATAATTGCAACTTTTCCCAGTGCTTCCAGTTTTGACATCGCAGTGAGGCAGACGCAGGAAGATGGCGCTCCATCTTTTGCATTTGATTTTGCCCTGCTGGGGGACCCTGGAAAGGTCGAAAGTAGAGGTGGCAAGCAAGGAGGGGACCCTCATTGATCATGGGGGGGGGCAGCAACCCTCATGTTTGATCTGAGAAAGCCCTCCAAACTGGCAGGGGAAAGACTGTCTACATTCGTGTAGCCAATTTAAAGCTGCTGACAATGAAAGACAACAAGCACTAGCAAGCAATCTTACAGCAACATAGATGAAACTGGGTGGGACCTGACCCTCTCTTTATGATTTTAAGACCTCTTCCTAAAAATCTGCCCAAAGCACTCTCCCCGAAGAGAGAGGGAAAGGGAACTTCCACCCCATTCCCTCAGAAAAGAAAAATGGCAAATTAATTACTTGGGGAAAATGGAGAAACCTGTAAGACTAGTTTGGAATTATATATATGGCTTAGAAGTTATATATATACATCTTAGAAATTTGGGGACTAAAAGTGTTTTTAAGACCTTTTTTTTAAAAAAAAAGACTTGAAAAGTTTACAATATAAGTTTTGGATTTAAAAACTGAAAAATGGCGATGATATCTAGTAGTGAATTACACAACACTGCAGCTTATTTATGTCTAAAAGAAACCTGGCGCAAAGCCCAGAATTAGATAAGACTTTGGCTGGCCTTGGAAGCTTTTACTATTGAGAATTGCAGCTAAGAAAAAAGGAACAGACTCGGGGGCTGCTTTTCTGTGTGGTGGAGATGATAATATTAAAATTGGCCTGTCTGAATTATGAACACAAATACTGACTTTCAGAACTGTATTGTTGAACTATTTTCCTGTAGAAAAAACATTTGGAACACTTTGGATTATAAATCTTGATTGCTAAACAACCTTTAATGGTGGGCAATCTATCATCCTCTACTTTTCTGGAGAGGTTTTGTTAGACCCAGGTCACTACCAGTTTTCCACTCTTTACCAATATCATTGTCTCTGCTTCTATGGAGACATCTTAGTTTTCCATTGCCTCATTCAGACTTTTCTGGGATTTTTGTTGACAATATGATAACTGCAATGAGGCAACATTTAATATATGACAATATTTGCTAGTAATATTTGCTAAACTCTGAAACCCACTAAAATTAAACTAATAAGGAATGGTGGCATAGCTAAATATATGCTATTGCTATATGAATAATCCATATGCTGCTTTTGGAGAAAAACTCATTTTTTTCACCGTCCCTCACTGTGAGGCTAGGAACTGAGGCTGGATAAAAGGGCCAAAACTATTTTAACTAGAACAAATTTCTACTGAACATCAAATTTGCCTAACTTCTTATTTTGACTTAAGAAAACTCAATCACTTGAAGACTCACAACAATTCTGGGTCACCAATAGAATTTTTTTTCCTGAAGCATTATAGATTAATGTACTAGGTAAGCATCTGAATTTATAAGAAAAGCTATTAATTGTTTGGCAAGTAGCTTGTAACTTCAAAATGTTTGATACATTAAAAGGGGGTGACAATGTTTGTTAGCCTTACAAGGTGGAACAGATTAAAAAATGCCATATACAGTAGGTCAGCACAATTTTTATTGTAATAGCTATAGTAACAGAATCAAGACTGAATGAGCTTCTTCCTTTTTCACTTATCTTCATGTGAAATATGGAGAGGCTTGTCTGCAGTGTTTTCTCAAATTAGTTTCATGGAAGGGGCTCAAGTCCCACTTATCTGATTATTGTCCTGATAGCAGTTCTTCCTCCAGTCCTCCTGAGCTATTCCCTTTGTAATCCACAACCATTCACATAATTGTTAGTCCAGGAATATATTGTCATTGCTATTGGAAGAACTTCCAAGAATTTTCCATATTTGATTATACTCTTTTTTTTCCTTGAAGAGATAATTAATAATCAGCAAAATTTTCCCTAAAAATAAATCAGTGCCATATTTTCTCTAAATAGTACTGACCTTTATAATTTATGTTCTCTTTACAGAATGTTTCCCTTGCAAGCTTAGGAAAACAACGATCTAAAAGCAATATTTGCAAAAGTAGGAACTAAAAGATTTGAAAAAAAAATCCCAATTCTGTGCCACATATTCCATGCTTTACATTAACAGTCTACGTATAATACTTATATGTCCTCTCACAAGGAGCTTTTAATTTGGCCTGTATTTATGTCAACTGAGATAACAAGTTGGTGTAGTGGTTAAACGTGAAAGAAAAGAATGCAGAAAACAATTTACAGTTCAATTAAAACAAACAAACAAACAAACTGTAAGCTAACAGGCAATATCAGCCCAAATGGCAATAGATATAGTAATAGTAATTACTATAGTAATATAAAATAGTAATAGACTTTATCTTCCAAGTCTGGAGAATTCACATGGTGATTAAAAGACATGAAATGAAGAGTTATTTGATACATAGGAGAAAATTTAAGACCGATACCAACAAATATTAAAATGTATGGACAACAAAGGAACACATTGTCAGGACAATGCTTTTCCCCATTGCAATGTGTTGCTGTGATAACTGGGCCATCAGAAATGCTGAACAAGAAAAAAATGATCCCTTCAATTTGTGATACTGAGGACACAGCGGGAACAAATCCTATACTAATAGATGAAGAAAAATCAGACTGCTTATTGAAAGTATTAATAATGAATTTAAACATCCAATGTTTTGAACATATAATTGAAAGGCAAGGTTCAATGAAAAAAAAAACACTGATGCTTAGGGAAATGAAAGACAAGGCTGGCAGAAGACAAGATAGGTAACCTAGATGTTATCACTAATGACAAAAATATGAATTTACAAAAACACAAAGAAGCAGTTACTGAAAGCCAATCCTGGTAAAACGATATTTGTCAGTCACAAAGAATTTGAAGCAACTGAATGATTCAATATTTTTTTTTTTTTTTTTGCTAACAACATCATATCCACATCATTTGTTTACATAGTTGTTTCCCTTTGGATTAGGGTTTTAAAAAGAAAAAATCCAATTTCCCAAATCTTTACAAATCTTTAACTCATAAATGAAGTTGATTTTCAGTTCTCCTTTGTTTCACAAACATAAAACAAGGCATTCTATTATAGAATGGTCAATACAATTTCTTGCTAAAATCATTTATCTGCTCAGCAGGTACAGGATACATTTGCTACCAGATTTTCCCAAAGAAAAACTGAAAGACAAAGTGAGGTGTAATGGGTCTTTC